TAAACATCAGCATACAAGTCTCATGTACTCAAAAGAGTAAGGTATCTCGGTCATATATATATATATATATATATATATATATAGCAGTGTCCCCATACCCTACATTTTATAAATTTGTCGTGTCCCATACTCATACTCGCAACCGTACTGGTTACTATACCTGTTTCCATGCAACTTAACCTTCAGGTTATCATTAAATATTGCTTTCTGCTAACCAAAGATGAGCTTGTGTTCAAGTTTGAGATTGCAACTTTGGGCAATATATCAATGTTATTAACATTGAAGCTCAACTTAGTTGCTATTTCAATAGTAGCAATGGGTTTTCAAAGAGATCCCTAAAGACATCATTGTCGGCAAAGTGGATCCATAGACAATGTGGGCAATTACCAACCTGACTTCTCTGGCTACAAGCGGCATCGTCGATGATGCTTGACTAGCATGGGTTCGTTTTTTCGAGAAAAACACAAAAGAGACAAAGGAAAGGGAGTCGACGAAAAAATAGGAACAACAAATGTGAAGAATCCAATGTGATGCACCTAATTTCTATTTAGAAAATGGGAGGCTCTTTTTATATCAGTTTGAATTTAATAATTGTAAAAATGGATATATACATAGCAATACAGGCACACACACAAACAAACACACACACAGACAACATATATATATATATATATATAATATATATATATATATATAATATAATATATATATACAAACACACACACACACACAGCATACATAACATACATAATAATATATATATAATAATAGTATATATAGTATATATAATATATATATAGTATATTATATATAAGTTATAATATAATATATAATATATATTAGGTTGCTGGGAAGAGCTGGCCAGACTCAACACGCCCTTCGTGGCATGACACTCTATGACATGTGGCCCCCTGACTAGATGTGGACCCCCTAGTAGGGGGCTTCACAATGTCATAGAGCTGTCAGCTCACGGGGCCGTGAGCTGCGCAGCTCTCTCCATTGAGCACACACACATATACATACACTACATAACATATCAAACATACGTATATATATTAATATATATATATATATATATATATTATATATATATATATATTATATATATTATATATATATATATATATGATATATAATATAAAATATATATATATATATATAAATAAATACTCCCTTTAAAAGTACGAGTTCGGAAAAATCTTTCTATGGTCAATATTACCCTTCACTATTTTAAATATTTTATTTATATCTTAATCTATCCTAATCATAATTATATCCTATCCTAATCCTACGTGAACTATCTATGTCTTAACAATTTAAAAAATAATATTAATAAAATATATAAAATATTTTTTTATGGTATTAGTTTGTAAAGATAAAAAAATTATACGTAGCTAATATACTATAGTACATAAAGTATTGCAAAAAACGTACTATAATACATAAAGTATTGCAAAAAAACCTAAAAATTTTTAAAATTGCACAAAATACCCTAAAAAGTTTAAAATTATAAAAACTATCCCAACGTCTAAAAACTTAAAACAACAAACATGAAATCAAGAAATTAACAGTGAAGAATTTAAAATTTGTGGATAACATCTCATTATCTCAAAAATTATAGAAACACCCTCAAAAGTTTAAATTACAAACAAGCACCTAAAATTCTAAAATTTCAAGACTTACAAACAACATAGATGAATTCAAAGGATTATCATAATGCTCCTAAAATTTTTTAACATTTCAAAACTTATAACAAAAAATGAAATTAAGAAATTAGCAGCAGCCTCCAAAAAATTTAAAATTTTCAATTAACACCCTCAATGTCTCAAAAATTATAAAAATCCCCTCAAAATTTTAAATTATAAAAAACAACTTTAAAACTATAAAAAATTAAAATTTACAAACAACAAAAGATGAATTCAAAAGATTACACTCATGCACCTAAAAATTTAAAATTTAACGAAATTAACCTCAAAGTTACAAAAGTTATAGAAAAAACTCTTTCAAAATATAAAAATTATAAAAAAACTCTAAACTTTTAAAATTTATAACCAATACACATCAAATCTGAAAACTATTGGTAGACTGCTAAAATTTAAATTTTTAAAAATTAATCTATAGTTTTAACAATTGCAAAAAATAGCTTTAAAATTTTCAGAGTTGTAAGAAATATCGTGACATTTAAAAATTACTACTGACACATGAAACATAGAAGTTACAACTACCAAACTTTAAAAAAAAATAAATGCTCCCAAAGTTTTAAAAATTACAAATCACACCCTTAAAGTTCCAAACCACAAAAGGTCTGAAATTTTAAAACTTGGTAAAAAAAAAGTATAATTGTTAGATATTATTTCATTAAGATATAAATTTAATTTCCAATTTAGGGTTTACTATTCTTTTTTAGCATCTAAAGACAGTCTAAGTTGATACTCATAAACAAAAGCAATAAGAATTGATTAAAAATATCCGGTTAAGAAATAAAATTTTTAAAATATTA